TGAAAAATAATTAAATTCATTACAAATTTATACTTTAATGTTTAAAAAGATACAATAAATTATATTGAGAGTGTTTGTTTTTGCGAATACTACTTAATTGAGAGTCAACAAAAAACTCAAACAATGACACTTTATTTTAAGTCGATTAAAATTTAGTAATATTTCAAATTTCTCATAGACAATAGTTCGAAGTGGGTAAAAAATAAAATACTGTACGATAATGAACATCAATAACCGATTCCTCTGCAGTAGTCTTATTCAGTACGTTATACCCTTATACCGTATAATATGTTGTACGTATTTATTTTATTTTATCTGATAATTTTAGAGTTCAAGTATTGTAAAATGTGTATTATACGCCTTAAATGATTACGTGTAATACTTTAAGTTAACGGTTTCGATCGAGCGGTACTATAATATTTTACTTTTTATTTGATTTTCGAAAAATTTACTAGGTAATAATGTTTTATTTATGCGTTCTCCGTTTCCGTAACGATACTGTACACAGAGATTTCTATACATTTCACAAAGGAAAAATTGTTCAATAGATAACACTGTTATACCATTAAACTTCTTTCCCGGTACATGCTGTGTTTTAGTCGAACCGTACAAATGCCATTTACTTATTGTGCTACACATACATAGTGATCATATTAAATATACATGAACAATTTGATATTTTGTTGAAAAATACTAATCAAATTGTATAGTTTTACGTATCATATTATACTTAAATTATGGTGAAATATTTACTTTAGTCTCACCAACCATGTACAAAAGAACTGTTTTGAAAAAGAAACACCTTTTTTCATATTTCATTTTCATAATTTTACTTTTATAGTTAGGTAATACCTGCATTGTTTCGCATTTAGAAATAGGTAATACATAACTTACTTTTTGAATTATTTATTATGTAGAACATGAACATCAATGCAATTATAATAATGCTATAGTATGAGTTACTTAATCGCTTACAGTTATGTAAATCTTTAGGTGTATGCTTAAGACAAGCGTGGACACGTCATATCAGTTATAGATATTTAATAATTATAGCTAACCAACTAAAAGCTTATAGTTTTAAGAAACTTTAAGTTTTTAATTTGGTAATGAGAAATGTATTTAATTATAATAATTATGTTTTACTATAGTTTTTGTTTATAAAGGTTTTCTAGCTGTCCATACTAAGTCTGACTAAATATATAACTGCATAACATTATAAAGGGAATTAAAATGTTAGTTTGTTTAGTGTGTATAATAATAATGTACTCGGTATAGGGATTAACATGTGTCAAACAGTGTTTCAACTTAAAACTAAAAACTTTATATTGATCAAGCAAAATATAAGTTAATTATATCAGTAGGTATATAATATAGTTTATCTTAATTGAGGCGAAATTTGAGAAGGTAATGGTTAAAAACAAAAACAAATTATATAGCCCTGGAGCGATATTGGAGTAGTTAAATTTAAGCAGATATAAAAAAACACTAAGAATACATGCGTATTATAAACGTCTTAAGTTTAATCCATTTATCTTATGTCGTAGATAAAAAAAAACCTTTTACGGTAACACTATCTTCTGAGACGTTATTGTTTTGGCAGGACTCGTATATTATATACGAAATATATACATAGCCACATAGGTGCATAAAAATATATAGTTCAAGGATTCATAAAGGTATGATATGTTTTTCCCTACAAAATAATAATAGGTATTATATGAATAGATTAACTATTTTTTTTCTCATAGTTACGGTTGTATTTTGTTATTATGGCCCATGTACATAGAAAATCAGAACTGTTTTAGTACCTAGTTACACGTCTACATAGAGATCCAAAATATTATGATAAACCCATCTTTGCTTCCATACATTTTTGTCTTGTACATTATGAATATAATATTCCAAGTAGACCAGGTTAACAGTATTATACTAACATTTTTTTTCCAATTTTTTCTATATAGGTTTTATTCTTTTTAAGATTTCAACAAATTTCATGATAAAATACCAATTTTTATATGAAAATACAATCTTTTAAATTTTCTATTCTCATTTTTTAAAGAAACTAAAATAATAATAAAAAAGTAAACAATGAATAGGGTTTTATTAATATTTTAGCAAAAAAGTGTTAAACTTCATTCTGAATCGTTTTTTGTATGATTTGCATTCACAATACTGACATTTTTGTCTCCTTGATGAATCTATGAAAAATGTCTGAGACTTCAGTAGTCACTGAACGATTTTATAATATTTAGTGGCACCATTTTTTAGACAACTTATGGACATAAAAACAAAAACGACCACTTCGAATGAATAGCAGATGTCTAGATGAGAAACAGATTCGTATATATGTTTAAGTTTATCAAGTTTTACTTCGACGAATTTCAAAAAATAAATAAATAAGTATTATAAAATAATAATATTGGGTTTATTATCACGGGTCTGGTACAGCGATCGATCGAAACGTTTTTTCTAAAACAAGATATGGCCAGTTTTATTCGAGTATTTTGGATTTATTGTCATTTTTTTTTTCAAGTCATTGTCTAAAGATATTTTTGATTCGATTTGGTTATCAAAATTTAATAGTCAAAACATGTATTACTGTGTTGATTAGATACAAAATATAAAAATCAGTTTGAGCTCGGCCGCAATATGAGTACATGACACAAATTCGTATAGCAGTGTAATAGTACGATTTATTTGAATAGGAATATTATTTTGATTATTTTATAAGATTAAATATAATAATATAACTATGATTAAAGTCATAATTCTTTAATATAAAATTCTTTAAGTTTGTTGTCTAAGATACGTAAAGTAGCCGAGTTACAAATTCTGGCATTTGGTACAACAAGTAAAAGCCCTTCACTGCTATAATATATAGAGCACAAGCTACTTGAAAAAATATACATAAATCAAAATTTAGTTTACTTGGCCGGAAAGAAATGTATATTACATATTTATATCATTTGGTGTGTATAGGTAGGAGATCCGACAAGAACTAGACAAATTAATGTGTTTAAAGTTCCAGCTAAGTGAGCTAAATTTTGATTAATGTTCCGTGCATATATTTTTATATACCCACCCTGTGAATTGTGTTGAAGTATTTGTTTACAAATTATGCTTCAATCAGCTCTTATAGTTTAATACCACATACACAATACATTATACTATTATATTCATAATTAATATCAGTAATTATTTAATTATTATTTATGATTAATTATGAATGATAATTCACCAGTGATGGATTATTATTACATCGAAAAACATTGGTACTACTAATACCTGATAAGTGATAACGATATATTATGTTTTATGTATAATTGTTGCAAAGTGCACTGTTTATATTAAATTTAAAAACAGGTTCAATATTCTTTTATGAGGGTAATTAGTAATTACTGGTACAGTAAACTGCATCTAGTATTGGCACTCCAGCAAAAATAGTTTTCAAAACAATCAGCAAACAAAAAACAAACAGCAGATAAATGTGAATATTTCAGTGACAACAGTTTTTGATAAAAGCGATTTTGCTTTTTAGTAATAATTGAAAAATAAATAACTTTAAGGTATGGTTTAACTTTAGCGTCTCAATGCGGCCGACAGGAACATTATGGTATCGTCACTCCACATGTAGATGCCGTCCATGGTGCGATAAAGTAGTTGACGTTGTACGTGGCAGGCTATGTGTATCCTTTTTTTTAGATACTAAAAATGTTCAAGAAATATCATGTTGACATTTTCTAGAGATGATAATAATATGTACCCATATTGTTTTCTACATTTTGGTTCTCTTTAAAATATTTATAGACAAATACAATTTTTAAATATTTTAAGATTTGTTCATTAATGTGCTGATAATTATTTATTCTAATTCAAAAAGCTTGAAAATATCTTATTCAAGATTTTTTATAAAATATTTATTTAGTATTTAAAAAAAAAAAAAATGAAAATTGGCGTTTAAAGTTAACATTTTTTGAGACCTGGAAATTATTTTATAGTTTTAAGTTCTACAATTTTCAATTTTTAACATTTAAGTCTTGAAAATGTAATACAAGAGTTCACATAAATTCTTATTGCTTAAACTAAAAATTGTTCAAAATTCAGCCACATCTCTTTTTTTTTGAGAGTTTAAATTCAAATTTGATGACATTGAATATTTTAACTAATAATAATGAATTTTTCATCAAACGGTTTTTGTGATTTTGTTATAACTCAACAGAGTTTAATCATAAAAACTTGAAACATTCATCCATTAACTACTTCAATCTATAATCAATGAAACATTAAAACATTTTTAGACAAATTGTAAGCAATTAGTAGGCATTTTAAATTTTATAAAATAGTCACATTTTATTTTTCAATAAATGTTGATTAACATTTTTTTTCGGTCAAAAAACTTAGCACTTGAAAATGTATATTTTTATAGTATATGTATGTATAGTTTTTATAAACCTTTCTTTTTTTTCTGTTCAAAAACCGGTATCGTATCGTTTATTCGCCAAATACGTACAATACAAACATGAGATAAATAATAATGATCATTTTTAACTGAGCTAAATTGATATTCAACATTTAAAAAAGTTTTAGATAATAGTTATCCTAATTTTGTTTCAACTAAGTTAAGTTAAAAGTTATATTTACACTTACAATTAATTTATTAACTTAAGTTATTAATATTATTATTATTTTTTTTAATACATCAATTATTATAGTCAGCAACATGGTTTAAAATAATAAAAACTTAATGTTTAGGCAATGTGTATCATCAATTGTATTATATTTATTATTTAATTATTTATAAATTAAAGCAACTTGAATTTAAATAAAAGTACCTTACTTGTTATTTATTAACTTTATATAAATCAAAATCTGTTAAGTTAAAAATTAAGATAGTTAAAATTAAATTTATAAACGCCAAGTTAAAAAGTGAAGATTAACTAAACTTTAACTTTTTAACTAGTTTATGCCCATGCTTGATTAAATATATAAGTATAATACAATAGGTTTCATTTATAAAATTTACCTTTGACAACTATTATTATTTAAACTAAAGAAATGTATTCTATGACTTTTTATCCACAAAAATAAGCGTTTCCTAAGATACAAAGGAAGTAGTTTAATTAATATTTTTTGTTTATTGCAGTACAGTGTTACATTTGCCTTAAAGGCGACTCAAATAATTTTCTTATTAAAATTATCATCTTCATGTTATTTCTACAATATGCAGACATTTCTATGTTTTAAACATTTATTTATAGGAATCATCCACTCTTGTCAATTTCAGATTTCAGATTATTGATAAAACCATCGTTTGTTCGGATAAGTGGCACGGAGTTTATAACATCGAATCCTGTGGTGAAGATAACCAAAAAGACCGAACTTCAATAGAAAAATCATGATGAGTAATTTACGATGCGACTTTAATATTATGTATATAAGTATTGAATAACGTATACAGTGCTAGAAGGTACCCACATACCAATAAGCGTTTATATTAAAATATTACCTATGTATATTCATTGTATATTGGTAACTATTAACAGTTGTAAGCATATATTCTATATCATACACCACACCGTATGGTATTTATTCGAGACTCACGAGTGACCACAAGTGGATCAACATTTTAATTAGGGTCGGGGAAATGAAATGTTTACAAAAATGAAATTTTTTTTTTTAATTTTTGTTTTTAAACCCTTCATGTTTCAACTATAGATAAACTGCAACGACAATAATCGACGGGTTTTTTTTTGATGATAATTGGACAGTTCGATGAGCATGTGTAAATTATGGGCGACGTTAGATTACATAGCTATAACGACCATCGCGCAATTGGCGATCGTTTTCGGTATCATCTTTGGCCTGGCCGCGCGGTTCTGGTGGACCCGGAACACGGTCGAGACAAGACAACAGTACTCGGCCATGTTCTGGGAGAACATCCTATACATCGAGTTGGCGGCGGCCTGCTCGCTGGCCCTGTTCGCGGCATTTCTGTGGAAGCACACGGAACGGGACCCGTGGACGGGCAGTCGCCGATTGCTCCTGTTCAGTGAACAGATGCTCATGAAACAGGCGGAGCGCGAGACGCGGGATATTCTGAAGTCGACTCGCCCGAATCAGCTCGACTCCACGCACCCTGGTTACGTGCGCGTGGCCGGCGTGGTATCCCGGCTGTTGGCCGCCAACTCCGGGGTGGACGCGATCCAAGACCACCAGTGGACCGTGGTGGTGGTGAACAGCCAGAGCGTCAACGCCATCGTCGAGCCCAACGGGTTGGTGTTGGTATACTCCGGGCTGATGTCCATGGCCAACGATGATCAGCTGACGATACTCATCGGCCACGAGTTTGCGCACTGCGTTCTCCGTCACGCCAACCAAATCAACAGCCTTAGGTTCGCGATCACCGCACTGTGCCTGGTGCCGGCGACCCCTTTGATCTTTGCCCTGCTGCCGTTAGGTTGGAACCTGTTGACACATTTGTGCTTGTCAACCGCCGTAACGTTGTTCATAGTACTGCCATGCATCCGGTCGTACGAGACCGAGGCCGACCGCATTGGAATGGAGATGGCCGCCAAAACGTGCGTGGACGTCACCCAGGGCCACCTGTTCTGGAGCTCTATGGCCACGACAAACAAACAGCACAAGCTGTGGTGGTGGCTGTCCATGCACCCGACCTACGAAAGTCGGTCCAGGCACTTGCTCAATTTGATACCCGCGGCCATGGAGATCCGAAGACAGGCTGGCTGCTAGCGCTCTTCGCGCCGACTCAACGCTCAGTCTCACCCCTAAAATAATTTCGTCCCGGCCGCCTCCTGAACGGTCAGTTTTCATAATATGTTCACGAATTTTGATTAGTTAGTTAAAATATAATAATGTATTGTGTTGTGCTCGCAAAATTATAATTAGATTTTGAGCGAAGTGTTGAATGTATTAATTTTACAATAACGTGTGTTTTTTTGTTTAGTATCTAGAGACACTTTTCTACTAATTACACTCTGATTTCTAACATTGATGGAAATTTCTGGTAGAAAATTGGATCTAGTCACTACTTTTGGGAGGTCAAAATTGAAAATGATCTGTTACTTCCTGTTGAAATAATTAGATATTTATTGTAATTTGAATATTATTTTAAAATAACTGTTGGTTAGCTACTAAAAAATTAGAGAATTTAATTTTGTTTCGTTTACTTTTAGTTTTTATCTAAAAATATCTATACAAAATTATTCGTTCTCTCAAAAACACATTGGATATCTTAAGTTAGTTATTAATCTTTCATTTCCCTTCTTGCAGTTTGTTGTCTCGTAACTGGCCGGGTGTTATTAAAAGTATAGAATTAAGTTTACAAGATATGTCGTTCCTCATACGAGTATGTTCTAAATAAATCTGTCATTTCCATCTTCGGAGATCTAATAGAGCTGCAGCATTCATCTGCTTGATCAACAATATTTGTCGGACATGATTATTCATCAATGTTCTGAAGAAAAGATTGGTGTCTCATAACTGGCGGTTTGTGTATGAAAATGTATAAGCTTAAGTCTATGTCCATAACATTACATTATTATATAAGTGTATGATTTACAAGATTGGTCGTTCACCATAGATACCAAATTGCCATTTCCATTCTCAGAGATCTAATAGATCAGCAGCATTCGTTTGTTTGACCAACAATATTTTGTTCTTGCCTTATTTATTGGATTTCATCTCAATCCATTAAAAATAGCTATGATCATGTTAATTTCGTTTAGCGCTTGTTGAGAGGATTGAATTATGTCAGAAACATCAAAGGGCCAGTCTTTAATCATACCGTTTAATATGGCGATATGTAGATGACGGTCTCCACATTTTCCGTAGTCTTCAGGAAAGGTTAACTAAAAAGTGTTTTATTTATATTTATTTATTTTGGTACAATAATAAGCATAAAAAACATTAAAGTTTCCGAATCAACCACATGTTGAACAAATTTAGATAGCAATCATCAAGACGGTCAAGCTTAGATAAAATTTTACAAAAATGTTTAAACATTGTCTATCTGAGTGGCCGAGTTGCATATTATAGTTAGTAGAAATATGACATCAAATTATTCATTTTTTTACAAATATATTTATAAATAAAATATATCTTTGGGACGAGCAAAGCAGAAAGGGACAGCTAGTAATTATATAAATATACATTTTATTAAATTAAAATATTAAAGGTGCTAATCGAATAATTATCTTTTATTCTACAAATGCGTGTCCGTACATTATTGTCATTATATTATATGTTTGCATTGTCATTAATTTATGCAGAGAAAATTTTGGAAAATAATTGCAAGGAATTGTTTTTTATTATTTATGTGTGGCTGAGGTCGAAGAGCATACACGCAAATAGTGCTATAGACGACAAACACAGATTGACGACACAGTGGTATGCGGCTGTACCTATATTTATACTAATACTATAGTACTATTATGTATGAGCGAAAACTCTGCAGGCGTTCGTAACAACTACCCAGCTCTCTCATAATAATAATATAAATATTATTCAACTCTCCATAATATTATGTATAATAACTGTGCATCATATCGAATTACTCTGATCTCGTAATTTATATTGATTATTTTTTTCTTATTAGTTCGTTGTAGTCAAGCCACCTTAATGGTAGTTTCAACTGAATTGTTTGAAGGGTGGTCAGGAGCTTGGTACAATTTTTATTTTACATGATACTAATAATTACAAATTAATTTAAACACCAATCTTGTTTAGACGATAATTCGTATTTTAAAGTGATCAGCCATTAGCGAACATAAAATTTATATTTCAAGGTCAACAAAATGCTGATAAGGTATAGGTATAATAGTATTTTTAACTATGAAATATTCGAGTACCACTCATTTTAAAATGTCTAAATAATTTAAATACTATGAAAGCAATTGTTTGTTTATAAAATGTTCATATGTGAAGGTCAAAACTTCTCTGATAAATAACTCTACTAGAGAAACTTGATTTCAATTTCATACAAACTAAAATGGTATTGTGGCGAACAGGCACAGTGACAATATGATTAAAAAATATAATATATATATAATTATAATTAAAATCTACCTATACAAAAATTGGGCAATTACCAAAGTACCAGTTAATTATATTTAATATACGTATTACACAGGTATTGTTAAGGGTTCTCGTAAGGGTTGTAATAATTGTTGAGTGGTAAAATAAACAGTTTTAACATAATATGTAAATATTTAAATATATATGAGGTCTTCGATAAGTATTGTATGACAAAAATGGTGAGGATCACTTAAGCCAACTTAATCCTTATTATTTTTGTTATTATATTTTCGTATACACATTATATTTTTAATGTTTTGGTCAAAACAGTTTATTTAAAAAAAAAATGTCTGACATTAATTCTCATTTCTCAGAAAATATTATCATTGCACTAGACCAGTAGGAAAGATTAAGTTCTTATTGAATGCATTAATTTAAACACACATTGTTTTTAACTTTAATTAAGTATGGTTGGATGATAAATGAGCTTCTCGTTCTATGTATAGTTTTACTTATTAAACTAGATTAGATAAGTTTGAGTTAATCAATACAGAGAATAGAATATCCAATCGAGAAATAAATATAGTCATAATGCCTAGATAACATTAAACAAAATATTTTGGTGCTTCAGTGGTTTTAGTCAGAATAGACAGAAACAAGAGAAAGAAGAAATGCTTTTTTTTCTATCACCCTAAAAATCGACTCTAAGAAAAAAACCTAAATCTGATGATCAATTAAGTGAATACTAGAAAACTAAATATAGATAATTAATAACTGTTTATTAGTGTCCCAAAAAGTATTTAGTATAAATGTTTACGCTTCAACACAGGGCTTCCTTTCTGCAGTGCATCGTTTGTGTGAATGTTTGGTTCAACTCCCATTGATGCAATGACTAAAAATAACACAAGATAGTTGATAATTTATCTTTAAGTTAAGTCTATCGTAATTTTTGGATACCTATGATTAAAACTAAATACAAATATTTAATCTGATATTGATTTCTTATTTTTGCAATCAAAAATACATATTTTCGAATTATTAGATACCTATATTACTAGGTATTATATTGTTTTATCACAAATATAACTATTGTTTTAATTCGGTCATTTACAGAAGTATAAAACATTAAAAATAAAATTGTATACTTATTGAACACAGGTACCATAATAAATATTTAAATTAAATAAATTCCATTATTATTACCTATTTGGGGTACAAATATCTTAACATTTGTTTTGGTTTTTAAATTGTATAAAGAACTTGTAACTTCACTTGTGGACAATATGAATATTGAATGAATTCGTTTTTAAAATAAATAGCCATAATAAACGTCTAAGAACTCCTATTTATAACATTTGAACGTGAACATGATCTGATTAATTTATAAACATAACTATCCATCGGACGACGTAGTCGTCAAAAAATAAAATAGTTAATACATTTATACCAATGATTAATTTTCTTTTTATGTACTATTCGCACTTATTATGATTTATCACGTTGGTCTCAACCACAGTAAACTTAGGTCTGGGCTTATTAGTATTTAAAAAACGAAGCGGTGTTGCAGTGCGGGCACTCGACCCGAAAAGCGAATGTGACGTGATGACACTGTCGTCTATACATACCACGCCGGATGAAGCTCTGTACGCAGCTATATTATAATAAGCCTATTATAATAATCGTTGTTATATTTCTCGTTCCGTTCGAAGACCGATCGCTTGAAGCGGATGTAGCCATGTGGAGATGGTCATAGTCATCCGTAACGTATTGTAACACTGCTGTATGCCATAACCATTAACCATGTTATAGGTGCATAAAACACGATATTAATATACGTTCATGCACAGTAGCAGTATTCGCGTGCGCGTATAAATTGTATGTACCTACCTTGTACGTAGAGCCACCCAAGTCACACATTTCGTACTGACACTTCCGTATGAAAGTATAGATGCGCGAGCCGGGGGCTGTTCACTTATATTGCGTAAGGTGGGCATATACGTTTTTACGGCGTTTGGGATAGGTACACGAAACTGTCGGGACGAGATAAATTGGCAATTTTACCCAAGTGGCGCGCGCATATATTATAGGCACATTTACACGCCGAACACAATCAGAACGCAGTCGCATAATCTTTATCAGAAAATCCGCTGCGTAACTTATCGTCAAGCATCATGAGATGGACTTTATTAAATCGCTTTCGTACGGTGGTTCGACATATATTATTATATAGGCACGATGAAAAACTGAGCATTCGACGTGGGCATCGAAATATAGTTTATATTATATTGTAGAAAATGAGACATCGTCGAAAGTCCATTAACCGTAATATGCGAAATTTGAGGAGGTTATGCAATGGAGCTCTGAGTCTTCTTATTTATATAGTTGTTTAAGTTGTCGATCTTTTGAATATTCAAATTGAATCAAAATGGAAAACCAGGAAAAAAATTAAGAGAAACAATTATTAGCAAAACAATGTAAAAATGAATAGTAAAAAGATTGAAATTTATCAAAAAAAAATAATCGGTTTTTTTTTTGTAACGGACAGTTGTTTTTAAATTATATTTTTGAAGTAGCTATCAAAGTCATGCAGAATTTGGGGCGACTCTGAAACCACCATTTTTGTTGTATGTTTAGCTAATGGTAATAGTATGAAACCTATCAATCTTGCATATCTTAAATTTGGTCAATTGCTTTTTGAGTTACAATATAAAATGTATTATAAGGTGACATTGATAAGAATATTTTAATTGTATGAATAACAACAACCAAACAATATTAAGGTTGAT